CCTGCTCCGCAGAGCTAACAGACCCTATACGCATCTAGTTGTCTTTACGAATCAGATGAAGTCAAGCCTCTTGCTTCCGCCGTGAGAGTTCGGTCGTGTTGATGATGTTATTCTTCATTATTATTTTGTCAATCTCGTGATAATTTAGGTTAAGAGCCAGTAATGAAAGAAATTCTGACGGAATTTTCAGGTGATGCGCTGCTTGAGGAAAATGCGAAAAATGATGGGAATCGAACTAGAGTCAATACAAGTGAAGAGGCGCAAGTGATGGCGGAAATAGGTGGAAAAGAAAATTTTACAAAGCCAGGTGATTCACTTTGGTTTTATCTTTAATCATAAAAGTGCTTCTGGCGAATGGGACTTATGCAGCAGCTCTCACTTTTTTAGCTCACTTTCTTCGAATACTGTTAGAATTCAACCATATCCCCTTGACCATAAGATTGTAGCTGAGAGAGCTTATTTTGAACTTTCTACAAAAGGGTCAATGATATATCGATAACTGCGATGAAAAGAAACTATTGTGTTATTAGCTGCGACCTTGATGTGAGTTTGTTTACTTACAGATGCAATCCCTAAGCGTTCACGCAGGCGTGCGTCGGCAACTTCCTCGAAATCCACTGAATCTTGTATCAGTGCTAAGATGGCAAGTTTTATCTCATATTTGCCCTAGCATATAACAACAATAAGTCGTGCGTTTTTTACAGTCGAAGTCCTCTTCAAAATCATCCTCGAGCGATATTTCCATCTGTCCTCGCGCAGTATCCACACCAATCAGAGAATTGAGCGATGTAAGTTTTTTTTCGAAAAGAAGTTGAAAAAAGTGTTATTGAACAGGAACGGTTTTAGTTTTTACTTCTTTTCCCCATTCTCCCCTAATTCTTGAGGACTTTCTGTTATGCGATTAGAAGCCTTGTATTTTCAACTGTTTCAATTTTTGATAGACGTCTAAATGACTAAAATCAAAAATTTCAAAAAATGCAGATGGGTGCGTAATTAGCATTCGGGCAGGAGATGCTATCAAATTACCGATCAGAAAACCACAAGTAGGAGAACCTAATTTTTGTTTTCAGTTGACATTCGAAGATCTCAATTTATCTGCCATTCCATCGCGTTCGGATGAGTCTGTGAAATCAGTGAAGAGAACGTCAGGTTCGTCTTATTGTTTTCATTCCTAGAAAACACGAGAGCGGTTTTTGTAGACAAAGTTTTAGTTCGTGAGCGAGCGTCTCTTTCTGTAGTAGACGAGGACAAGAGCTGCGATGACGACAACTGATTTATTTGCATAAAAACTATGTCTCATTTGATTTCTTTATTTAGAAGCTTTATCACAAAAGCCTTGCATCTGTGTCTTTTTTCCTGCGTTTGCTCTATCTTCACTTAGGCTAGAAACATCGATTTTCTGCTCGACTGATTTTCTGTTCTTATATTCTCTTAGGGCGTTGTTGATGAAAACATCACAAGATCTCTTCAAATAAAATTCCCGTTTACAAGCGCAAAATTTCTAGTTTTCTGACAGTTTTGCACATGGCTACGGAAGAAATCGCCCAGCATTCATTTCATGATGTAATCTGCCTACAAGCCATCACGTTTTTGTGAAGATACAATGTTTTTGCTTGTTTGTGTGGAGGTAATATTCATGATTCCATCATGATATTACTTCTTGTTTATTTAAAGTTTTTGCTCAATCTTACATCGTTTTCCATGACCATCGATTTCTTTTCGGTTCGTATTTCGCCTCGAAGCGCTCTTGTTTCATTTGTGTGAATGGTTTTTCAGTCGGCTGGGCTATGCTCGGCAGTAAGGTTGTCGGGATATGCTGCCGAGTTGCGGGTGCCTCGCAAGCGCTTTTGGCGCAAAGATCCTCGCACACCATCTGGTATCCGGATGCGAAGTTTGAGAGACAGTTTAAGGCATTTTTTTTTTGGTTTTAAGATCACCTTCACTTTAAACTTTTTGCTAATTTTAGAGTGCTGGTGGAATGGGGAAACTATGGATGAGCGAAAAGTATGATGAGTATGATAAAGCAATTGGTCTGGATAAGTTGGAAAAGCTCGCTTATGAGATGCCAGTGTTCTCTGATTCGTATGAGGGCAAACATCGGTTAGTCTTCTTCCGTTATTTTTTCTTTCTTTACATATTGGTCATTTAGCGACGCTAATTGTTGTAATCAAATTTGGGTTATAATTTCCAAAAAAATGTTTGTTCGTTGCTTGTTTCGTTTTTCAAGCAAATTTGACAGCTCATGACTCTATATTACTATATTATGTTGTTTTAAGTGAAAAACAGCTTGAGAACATGATCTTGAACTTTGGTCCACAACACCCAGCAGCTCACGGCGTGTTACGGCT